CTGGCCAATTTTGAGAAAATTTAAGTTAAACATCGAAATTTTCACGAAAATCGGCAAAATCCTGCCAAGCTAACAATGGTTCGCACTTCTAGCATTCTTTCTGTCGATCCCTGCGGCTTACATTTTCACTTAACAGTAAAACGTATGAGACAAAAATTCAAGACCGAAAATTAAGCTTCAGAACGATATGTTCAAAATTTTCGTGCGCTGTTCGAGTGAAGAACGACAGCAAGCTGAATAATATGCGACATTTACGCTTATTCTTTGTGTCTTGTTTTTAATTTCTAGCGCAGTTAGTATTGATTTAAACAGGGAAGTGTAAGCGAGCCGATTGTGCACCGTTCTTTAAGCCACCAAATAAGCTTTTAATCGACGCCAGAAGATATCCCGATTACAACTTCTACCGGTTTAAAATCAAAGCTGCACAGTTTGTTTAGAAATGGGCGTGGCTACGACAATCCTGGGTAGAAAGGAGGTGTGGCTTCTAACAATGGTACCAACCTTTGCAAACGAACTCGCTTCATGTTTTTGGATAAATTGAGTGATGTACTCTCCTCACTTTTATGTTCAACCCACGTCGAATAACTCCTTCTTTAGCGATTTCGCGTGCACTTCAGAGGTGGTTAAATGACATGTGTTTGAATAATTGTAATTATGAGTAAAAGTTGCCATTGCCGGGGAATGCCCACTAAGTAGTTTCTATAAGGCGCTTGCCTCGCTGTTGGTTTTGTTATTGTGGTGACTTCAGAACGAAGAGCCACAACACTAACCATCAAGTTTTGACGACTTCCCTCTCTTCTAATTTTCAACGCTGAATCTATTGAAGTGATTAGTTAAATGATTATTTCTTCGTGTGCATACGATTGTTTGTTAAAACTTCAGGGGCCGATTAACGCGTTAGCGTTAGAATTTTTTTTTTGTCGGTGCGGAAGGAAGAAGCAGGGGCGTTTGCATTTAATGCCGAGCGGACTTATTTCTACAGTCGGTTCTAATAAAGCTGCATGTGGCCGTATCGGTTGTAACTTATTCAACTGTGTGGCCACAAACAGGGACGGTGCGTTTCCCCGCTTCGTTAGGTGTTCTGGTAAATACATTTTTAGGTGTAAATTATTTAGAGGTAAATTTGGTAGAAGTACTTGACCCTTACTTATTTGAGGTAATTAACGCTTTAAAGGTACTTTGTTCAGAGGGCACGCCCCCCACTCAAACAGATAACATAAATGACTGACGCTTGACTCTCCCTCACTTGGGGCGCTCTGGGCGGGCCACCCACTCCGCACAGGTGCTTGGCGGGCTGGCCTACCCAGCGCGCAGCAGGCGCCATCACCCTTGCCTCGTGAGTGGACGTCCCTGTTTGTAGCTACTTGATTGTAGCTACAGCCCACAGTGCCCGAGTCAGCTTAAACGGAACCGTCAATAGACGAATTCATTACTTTCGCCAATGCTAGAATATCAACCAGAAGTAAACAGCGCTGAGAACTAAAGCGAAAACGAAAGATATCAATGCCTTTCCGAAGCTCTCGCCTAGTCCAAGCGCTCGGGGGGCAGGGGACCGCGGCGCGGCGCGGGGGTCCGATTCAGGAAAGCATTGCCTACCCTCCAGGCGTTTTCTGCGACAATCATCGACCCACGCCTAGATTGACACGGCGTCACTTCTTAGCCTTAGAAAGGATTTATGAGCCTGGGGTCAAAAGGAGCCTAAACCCAAAGTCCCCGTCACGACAGACGCCCTAGAGAGAAGCCCGTGGGCTACCTCGCATGCGTCCAAGCGACAACTCGTGTCTCGGCGACAAGTGGTAGTAGACACGTCCCTTTTCATGGATACAAAAATGTGGTCACAAATGGGGCAACATACAATGTCCAACGCCACCAGCCACACGCCCCTTTGGTAGTTAATCAGTTGTAGCTACAGTCGTCATGACCGCATGCAGCTTTACCTGAACCAAAATTGTCGGCCCTAAGATCAACTCCCGGGCGGGGCAATTTTTTTCTTTGTCGCTTTTCGTCACCCGTTAGGCAGGACCGGGCTCAGACCTCGGCCCCGAAGGAGCAAGCTGGTAGCCGAGCGTATTAAAGCGTGATCGTTGGCAGATCTTGGGGGTGGTCGGTAGTTCGAACCCCGTCCTCGATCATTTTTCCTGCTCTGCTGGCCAAGTGTCTTCGGGCGTCAGTCATACAGCGGAGATCTGCATGCCACCGAAAGTTGTGCTCTGTATGTATCGTTCCGTCGTGGCCAAGTCGGTAGCGTCCGGGCCGGGTATGAATCTGGCCGCTGGTTCGAATCTCGGCCGGGTGGTATTTTTCGCGCTCCGCTGGCCGGCCATGACTTTACAGCCGTGCAACACCTGATTTGATGGGCCTGTACGCAAACAGTCGCTGGTTCGAATCTAGTCGACGGAACCCTTTTGCCTCTCTGCCAGCCATATGTTTCGGGGTGTAAGACACGGCGGAGATAAGCTTCACCTCTGCAAAAGCATCAACATTGGCTCAGATAGTAGAGCGCGCGCTTGGGACGCGGATGGTTGTCGGTTCGAATACTGACCGAGGCTCATTTTTTCCTATTTAGTAGTTTGCGGCGCGAGGACCCAAGTGTTAGGCCAAAAGACCAACCGACATGGGGAGGTGGACTTGACCGCCTACTCAGCAGCCCCCCCCCCCCCCGTTTCTTTCGTTTTCGCTTTAGTTCTCAGCGCTGTTTACTTCTGGTTGATATTCTAGCATTGGCGAAAGTAATGAATTCGTCTATTGACGGTTCCGTTTAAGCTGACTCGGGCACTGTCGGCTGTAGCTACAATCGTGTAGCTACAAACAGGGACGTGCGCCATCATCCTTGCCTCGTGAGTGGGGACACCATAACAATAATAAAACAAAAAAACAAACAGGCGTTCAGTAGGGGCCTATCGAGGCTTTAAAAAAAATCCAAATATTAATAAAAATACGGTAGCACTTTATTTTTGTCACATATAATCACATCAAATCACATACAATAATAATATCACGGCTGAGTGAAACAGACGCCCACTCTCTAATAGTAGATTACACTTAGTGTACTAAGCAGGCACACGAGTAATATCGAAATTAATATTAGGTAGCTGTGGGCAAACCGCCGTGTAGTAAACTGCACGTACATCTTGCAGGGCAAGACGTCAATAATTTGGCCAACACAATAAAGCATTCCGGTAAAGCTGTAATGCAAAAGAATGCGGGGAACAAGATAAAGGAAGTCACCATGTTATAACATAGCGATTTCCGTTTTTTTCTTCCCCGCATTCTTCTGCATTTCAGCTTTACTGGAATGCTTTATTCTGCTGGGATACCGATTCGCGGCACACCCGTATTGTATCACTTTGACAAAGAAATTACAAAATGAAGGGAAATATCACAATGTTTACGTGTAATCACCAGACTCACCAGTATGCCGATATAAGACAAAGACTTGGAGATCACAGACCCCCTTCCCCACGGATTAGCAAAATGCACAATGCTCTACTTCCCGCGTTCTTATGTGTTATAAGTAGGCAAAACGCGACACATTTGTTCAGACCCAGCCTGAAACCACTCCCTTGAGTTTGTGAAGCTCCTAAATTCTGTCTTGAGCAAACTGCCGATAATTCTTGAGAATGGGCATTCTTCGGAGTGTTGATAACGTGAGCATGATGCACAATTGATTTCAGTTTGAAAGTCAAACTCGGTCCACACATTCAAACTTGAGGGGGGAAGCGACGCTGTACAAGAGGCGAAGTTCTCTCTTGAGAGGAGCACCAGTCCAGGCAATGTTGAAGTTTCGGAATGCCTGGAAGAAATATCATGCATATCAACCCATATGTAAGAAAGCAGGAATCCGCGAAACGGGGCAGTGCTGCCGGTCCGCACGGTCCGTCAAGCAAGCCTAAAACCAGCGATCTGCCTTGGCCATGGTGTTCGTATTAGACAGACTATGTACACTTTAGAATCAATTGTTACCTTGGATAAGAAGGTCTCCATCTCTAGTTGGGCGAAGCGACGACCGACGCAGGTGCGCGGCCCGAAGCCGAAGGGCATGTGCGCGAAGGGGTGCGCTGCCTTGAGGTGCTCGCCCTCGGGCAGCCAGCGTTCCGGGAGGAACTCTAGGGCTCGGGGGAAATACCGCTCCTCCTTGACCATCTCCGAGTGCACGCACAGGACGTCCGTCTGTAACAAGCCCGAACACGCGAATGTTATCCGTCGTACATTTGACGACGTCGGCAAATAATAAACGTGTAAAAGAAATGAAAAGATGCACACAGGAATTGTTCGACAATTCGATTGTCTCACTACTCACCCCCTTGGGCACCTGGTAGCCGCACAGAACCAGGTCCTTGACGGCCATGCGCTGGTTGCCAATGATGATGGGCGACACCCTCATGGCCTCGCGGATGCAGGCCCGCAGGTACCGCAGCTCTTCCAGCCTGTCGGCCGTCACGGGGCTGTTGGGGTCGGGGAAGACGCGGTCCAACTCATCCTGTAGGCGCCGCTGCTTGTCCGGGTTCTTCGCCAGCTGGTACATGACCGCCGCCGACGTGTTGGACGTCTGTGACAAGAACGGTGAAGGGGCTGTGAGTCAGTATAGAGCCGGAAGCGACGTGCTGGATGGTACAAGGGTACAAGGGTGTAGCATTGTAGTTCGCAGAGAAGCAATATCGATGAGTCAAATTAAGTGGCGTGAAGAAACACCTTGAATGGGGCACCCTGTACTGTGCATTTCACCAAATCGCTTCCGGCTAACTGACTCACGTAGTCGAAACGCGAGCGGTGGACGTGTTCTCTGACCAATCCTACAGCTCGACGGCTCGGCTGACTTACGGTGTCTACGCCGGCGGTGACCATGTCGAGCGCCATAGTGACGGCGATCCTCGGATTTTCGTTCCGCAAAAGCAGCCTCTCCAACACGCTGTACTCGTGCGTCTCGCGCTCCTCGGCCGACATGGACTGCAGGCGCTGCATTGCCTCCTCTATGTAGCCGAACACGATCCTACATAAAAGAGGGGGTGCATCACAGACGGTTGCCCCCTCATCATCGCTTGAAGGCTGGTCCATCTGCGCCGTTCTTTCTGCTGGGCATGCTGCTGTCCGGCATGCATGCGTGCGGGGGGGTTGCATACTCGCACGGGGCCGTAAGGCGCCTCGCTGAGCGACGACAGGCAAGCCCGTTCGCGAGCCTCCCCTCCATCCGCTACAATGTAACAAGAAGAAAGAACGGCGCGGATGGACCACCCTGTCCAGTCCAAACGATTAAGACCTACCCGTAGAACCAGTCCATAGTCTTCTTCATCCTTCGGTAGGCGGGCGTGGGCACGTACTTCCACAGGGACGGCTGCACGTCCAGGTGGAACAGGCAGTCGAAGATGGCGTGCACGGCGGTGATGATGCGCTGCGCTTCGGAGTCGGGCCGGAGGTTGTTGTCCAGGCAGCCCAGCCGCTTGTCCAAGGCGATGTAAGTGATGGCTGTGGAGGCGTAATGTTACACGTGGCCCTTTCAAGTCTCTTTGTACCAACTTGTGTCTAAGGACTGACACGTAGTAAATGCGCATGAGATGCTTTGATGAGCTTTAAACGAGCCAACTTTTCAGCATACATTTCCATACGCGCACTTCAGGCCTTTCGTGATTTGGGGGACACACGAAACACGTCGACAAGCATTACTCACATTCGAGAGCCCACTTGCTGAGTTCGTTGTAAAAGTCGTCAGGCATAACGTTATTTTGATCCCGTATAAGCCGCATCCTTTTACAAGACAAAAACCGACAAGGAATTATTTAGTATCCAATACCTCCAAAACTCCTATTGCGTACCTACCATGTGGCTGATCAATCCCACACATCTGTAGTAATACTGCACCGCAATCCTTTGTGCGGTCGGGTTGCATATTCGCTGGGGCCGTAAGACGCCATGGTCAGGGGTGCGCGGTAAAAATGATATCTTGTAATCCAAGAATATTCCTTGAAATTCAAGTAAAAATTACTTGGATTTCAAGCAATCTACTTGAATTAATAGACATAATTTTTACCGTGTGATAGGCAAGCCCACCCGCACGCAGTACAGTACAGATGAGTGCGAGGTTAATCAGCCACCTGGTATGTTTTTTTTAGGCTGCACACTGACCTGTCGATAAGCTGCTGGCTCACCGTGTCGATGGCACCAACGTACAGTTTGGCATTGCGGGGCTGCATCATGGTCTGATTGACAGCCGAGCGGAACGACGCCCAATCTTTGCCTTGCCTGAAAAAAAATGGCACACTTGAGTCGAAAAGATATTACTCTACTTAAGGATGTACATATGGAGAAACTTTGTCACAGTCAAAATGAATTGTTTATGTCAGGTTTTTTCCCTGCTGGAAGAAAATTAATAATACTAAAAACTCGCGTTACATTGTTTTGTTCGAATCCTACAGAATATGTATTTCACTATATGTCTTTCATGGTCCGTTTCGGTTACACTCACGTGCTGACGAGTCCCAAAGCACCTTCGAACTTCTCGGGAGTAAGGGAGCGGTAGTACCCTAGGCTCTCGAGGCCCAGCCGGGTGGGCCAGAGACCCTCATTGCGCAGAAGCTGTCGAGAAGCACGTGAGAAGGTTAAGACACGCTAGGGGTACAGTGTGGCTCACCCACAGATTCCTGCAGGACTACTGCAAGCACCTCACCTTCTCGGAGGCGTCGGCATCGAAGCAAAACACCAAGTCCCTCCTGCCGGGCAGCTTCGTGAGCTTCATGATGGAACCGTACTCATTGAAGAACCAACGCGGCAGCTCGGTAGGCGTCACTTTACTGAGGTTGCCTGCAACAGATGCCATTTATTTTCATTATATTATCAACATATTTTGACATTTCCATAAGTCACCGCGGGATTATTTAGTTAGATTATTTAGATTATGTGCCGTAATTAAATTACTTGACCAGTGCTAGATCACTGCATCGCGTCCGCGCATCATCTGTCGCGCCATCTCACCAAAGATGAACCTCCACATGTTGCCGACGAGTGGCGCCGGCCGCGGACCAGGCATCTCGCTGAAGGGGCGCGCCGAGTCCCAATCGGCATCGCGGTCGCCGATGGTGGTGGCGGCATCCTCCCGGTGCAGCGGGGCGGCGAGTGTGCTGCGGCTGCGTGGCCACTGCGGAGTCAGAAAAGCTTAGGATTGTGGGGTACTTTTGGTGTCTATTTCTTTATTCTTTATTATTGTCATATTATTTCTTCTGTCTGAAATTTTACACCAGCCTTTTACAGGAAATGGAACCCCCCCTCCCCCCGGCAACATCAACAAAAATGAAAACACGTTAATTTTAAAGGCTCTGCATAGGGTTGGGGGTCGGGGTTCGAGTGGAATGAGACCTCGGGTGAGACACACTTTATTTGCTTGTGTGATTCACCTTCTGCCTGGCAATGGATGGTCGCGGTGGTTCTCCCACCCCCCACCCCCTCTCCCTCTTCTCACCCCGTACTTACCGCACCCCTGGCATGCCGGAGGAAGCCCGTGAAGGGAGCGGCCGTCTGGAGCGGTGGCGCCATGACCTGTCAACAAACGCCTATACATGAGGAGGTGCCACTGAAAGCGATCTTATTAACCGACAATGTTACACTTTTATACTGTGGTTTGTCTCCGTCGCGTCGGCGAACGAACACACTGACGCACACAATGCAAGTGTCCAGAAGCGAATGGAGATAATGCAATCTGGTGATTCACACTGGCGGCCCGCACGCGGAAATGGGGCAGCAACAGTCTCAAGGATCGTGCGAGTGCGAGTAAGACGGATGACCGGTGCTGCTATTGCTGCTGCTACTGTCTGTGAGTATGTGTGTGTGTCTGTATAGAGTGGTAGTTTTCCAATTCAGGCGTTCGTCTACTGAAAATGAATGCTGCCGACAACTCAGTGCATCACCGGCTACACGGATCAGCCCCGCGCGCGTAGGCAGACCCGTACTACACGCCTGCCCAGCGGTACAGCGTGCAGCGCCTTGTCTCTCTAGCAGCAGCGCGCCTATGCACTGATGCAGCCCGGACGTGGATGCTGCATTGCACAAGGCCAGTGAAAAGAACATCATTATAGTTAAAACTAGGATAACTCGAGAAACACGGTAAAAAAGTAATGAGTGTTTTTTAAGGGAAAATGGAAAACTTTGATGAACTTTCTACATTTATAATGGAAATTCCCAGATTTATGAGATTTCCTCACCATCTGAGGAGTTCTTTCTCAAATATGGAAGTTTCTTTTCTCGGAGGGTAGCGTTGAGCCTTTCTCCTTATCAGCTGTTGTAATCTTGCTTATGGAAGGTAAAGGCAACAAATTTCCCCGTCCGGTCGGCCTACAGCACATTGCCTGTCTGCTCAGCTGGATCTTACAGACGGCGCCTGCGCCTGCGCTGACAAGATCGCCATTTGCACTCGTAAACACGCACGCCTTATGGGTCTTGCGTTGCGACAGACGACACTGAAATGGCTATCGGTTTATCGCGAGAATACAAAAAGAAAATATGGAGGAAGGGAGAAGCCAAGACGCAAGAACACAAGCACTCGGCGGCGACGTTTGCACTGATAAACCAAGTGTGCAACCGGTAAACACCCGAAGTGTCCAACTCCAAGTTGTGCACTTGCAAAGTGTGTAGCTCCGAAAGGTGTGAACTTGCAAGTTACTGACCAGAACAAATTCAAGAGCACAACTACGAAGTTGAACATTTGCAAGTGCACACGATCATGGAGTTGCACACTAAAAGTATTATACTGGTTCCACACTTGATTTATCAATGTGTCCGCAAAGCAAAAGAAAATTTCCTGCATAGAGAACACACACAAACACAATTGAGACGGAATATCTAGTTTGGGGCTGGGAGAAAATCGGGAGCATTAAACAAGCGTTTAGTGCCCGGAAGGGAACATATTTCTTCGTGCGAGCTTCTGCAGTAACGTAACAGTTCTTCTCACGGAGATCTGATCCCTCCTTCCCATCTTTTGAAGGGGATATCATGGTTTTGTGGCCCGTGAATAACCACATGAAACCAGTCGGAAAGCAATTCAATACAACTACTGTATACAAAATAATGTCATATCTCGATACTCGGAATTAATAAGTATTTTTTTTTATGACTCCGAAGAAAAAATCGCAATATGGATAGGTCATTCCCCAATTAGATGAGTGACCTGCTAATGTGCCAGTGTATCCGATAAAAGGGCCTGCACGCACATACCATATACGTCTGTTCATCCACATAAGTTACCTTAAGCTATTAAAATTTGCATCGTTAGGGAATTACATCATAACCAAACCACCCACTCTACCTGTCACGTCCAGGTAAAACAATTACTACGATAAAGACATGACATATTTTTAAAAATACTTCTTTAACAATTTATCCGTATTTGCGAGGTTGAAAAGGCCAAAACTACGATGACTATTTTCTCATTACTCATGTACTGTCTTACTGACGGACACAGACGCAGTGTATATGTGCGTGTTTTCTCTTGCACTTCGAGCCCGTAATTATCTTATTGATCGACAACAGAAATTTCAAATAACCCGCGGTCGCCCTCATTCGGCTGACAGTTCGGTCCACCTACCGCCTCTGATTAACAGCTGGTCGAGGACGGTCGTCGGACCCTCTCCATGCACGGAGGACAGCGGCTTAGCACGACGACGTGGATCTGTTTGTTGTTGGGTTGACAAGCGCCAGCTGAGCGGAGCTTCCTTCCCGACCCCCAACGGCACGACGTTGACCTTACGGGGGAATCGATACACTGACGGCGTCGCACCGGCGCTGCCAACTGCACATCCTTTCGAAGGATGCGGTGATTCGGCTCCAGCATCCGCTGTTGTGTGACATCTTCCTGAAAACAGAACATTCATCGGTTCACCGACGTACCGGCCACTGCATCTTCAAAGTGGAACTTGGCGACGGCTTCGTGAGGCGCGCAAGTGGTGTGTGGGGAGGTTGGCTGCGCCGCGGCGAAGGCCGACACACGTGTGAGGCGCGCCCTCTGACGGCAAGCGCGCGCAGTGCCGCGGCTTGGCTCTGTGTGTTGTGAAGTTGGGCGATCGTGCGGGTGGGGGGTTCGGACCGGTCTAGGTGCGGAGGG